ATCTCAATTCTGTGTGCCTCTTGTTTAGACGTTCCTACGAACTGATCTCCCTAACCTCCTGCTCACACTCCTCAGTCATCTGCTGTGCTGCTCATTTTATCCTTTTATCCTCTTTCCATTGTTCCTCTCTCTCGACTCAGCCTCTACAGGCACATTGACCATGGGCTGTATGGTTGCCTCAGTACTGAACTGACATGGAAATGTCTGCTTTATCCTGGAGAACAAATGCTCAAATGCTTTTTACATACGATTTATTTTATGCAAGTGTGTGCTTTTAAAGCTGGCAACTTTCTCGTGAGGCTCAGTGTGAGTCTCACAGTAGGAGGGGAACTACAGAAGGTGTGATTCCAAGGCCTCGGTTCGCTCATAAACACAGATAATACAAGAGACCTTCTCCATGTTTGGCAGATTGTTGGTGCAGCACGCTGGTGGTAGCACTTTCTGATCAGCCATGTCCAATAATTACCCAAAAGGGTTTTTACACAAAGGACACTGAAAGGTGATATATCAGTGGAACTGGTGACTATAATCTGTTAATATCAGGCTGTTTTGGCACATGGTGCTACATTACCATGCTGTTGAATCATTATAGAAAAAATATCTACAATGAGCTAGCAGGGGTAAGGATGATGAATCCTCTGCTGATGGCTGAAATGCAGACAGTAAAAGAGATAATGTGGTCATTCTCTACCTGACAGACATTATCTGAACTGCCTGCTCTACTTACACTTTCAGTTTTCCTCCAGTGAAACCACACACCCTACCCAACCTGTGATTTCCTGTAAACCTGTGATTTCCTGATTTATAAAACTGTACGCACATACAGACACTCAAAATAAAACAATAAATAAAAACACATTCAGCTCAGAGGTAAGCTCAGACTAGACCCAGATTCTCAACACACAACAAAAAATCAGAACCGCCACAGCAGTCTTCTTGGTAAACAACCACAATCCTCTAGGGCAGCATCAACAGCATCGGTGCAATCCACAGCTGCTCAGACAGTTAGCTCATATATAAATATAAATATATATATATTTAAACCAACATCTTATATATTCTGACTACTAAGTCAAAACCATTAAAAAAATGACTGCCAGTTTGACTTTAGTTTACATTTCAGTGGAGAGATTACTGTTCAGAACTGTAACATTGCAGTTGTGGTTTTAGGATTTTTCTGCCATTACAGAATTGATCTATAGGCCTCACGATGTATTATAGAAAAAGAGACTTCATTCTCAATCCTAAATGTATGATTACAGGCTCAAGTGCTCATGACCCAATGAGATTTCACCATGGAGTGGCCTGATGAAGAGCTTTCATGGACTGATAGTTATTTAAGTGGCTTCTATTTGACAGTGGTGCTTTGAGGGGCTTTTCATTTGGAAATCCTATCAAAATGTCCAATCGAAATTTAAACATATACAGCAGAAAAGACATGTACGTTACCCTCCTTCAAGCTTAGAGGCACATTTTTTGGTAGCACCGCTCAATGTTCAATAATAATGAGAATTGCAACAATGCCAATCACATCAAATCAAATTCACATTATGTTTTGAAGTGGGGACATTTCATCCATAACAGACCTTTTATAAAGGTCTTTTAAATGTGTGTTTGTTATTTACAAATAGATTTGAACAGTATCATATTGTTATATATATATATATATGATGCATGCAACAATAACACTTTTTATCTGAGCAATAGATTTCTAGCAGTTATTTGTATCATTTGGTGCATTGTCTTTGGCTGCGTCATAATCTCACCTGTCTAAATGTACTTTAGACAAACGATACATTGACACAATGACACAAAGTATGACAAACGCGGTGTGGAAGCAACCTGATCCCGCAGGAGAAGTGGGGAGAGGCCAGTGAGGTCGTATGCAGTCGTCTGTGCAATGACTGAGCACCATCTGCCCGGTGACAGTCTACCTATTTAGTATGGATGACACAGGCTAGTTTGTCAAAAAGTCTCAGTGCATGTGCTCTGCAGCCAAAGGGCGCACTCTGTCCTCCTTTTAACAGATGAAGTAATGAAGGTGAGGTTCAGACCCAGGTCATGTGATCTGATCCTGGAAAATGGAAAGATATCACTGCAGTCTGGGTGGGCTCCAGTGTGTCAGTAGGAACCAATGAAGGGCACCAAGCAGTGGCGGCTTTTAGATGCTGAATGCAACAGCATGTTTTGTGGGAGAAGGTGCATGCTTTGTGTGTGTGTGTGTGTGTGTGTGTGTGTGTGTGTGTGTGTGTGTCCCAGCAGGGATAAGAGGTGGCTTGGTCTATTCTGGGGCTTCGGAGTGTGACTCATCAGTGCCGGGATGTGGGCGATGCTTCCCAAGTGGGCTGGTGCACACACAGAACATACAAACACCAGTTCACAGACACACTTAGGGAGGCCAGACTGCAGATATAGACACATGTTGCACACGCCCACAGAGGATGCTCGAAAGGGTCACAGCCAACTAGATCACTGAATTAAAAAAATATGTAGTTCCAGGGGGGGGAAAAAAAGCCACAATTCAATATCGTGGTGTGGAGCAATGAGGCCTGTTACGGCCCGATGAGTCCCACTCATTCACCACCAGGCCGAGTGCATCTTTTCAGTGAGATGTTCATATCGGGCTGTCTGTCTGAACAGAAACAAAGAGGAGAGAATGAAAGAGGCAACAGAGATTCCCTGGGGCCTTCGTTCAGGAAATGATACAATCAAGACTAATTCACTGGTTTTAATCTGGTATCTGTCTATCGGTGCATGTTGTTTCAGTCAACCCACAAGGACGAGAGCGCTGCAAGGTTTCATGAAATATGAACACTATACTTGCGTGGGAGGAAGAATATCAGGGAAACATGATCTGATTTTTTTTTGTCACGGCTGGCGACTCCTACAGTCTCCTGTCCAATTCTCTCCCCTGTAGACTTCAGAGGTCCAATCTTCTGGGGCTGAATCCTGGTCCTCAGAGCTGCCGTCATTCTCTATCCCTCCATTAATCTTTTCTCTCCTTCCATTTTTCATTCCCTTCCTGGCTATCCAATAGACTGCTTCATCTCACCATTGCTTTCACTTATTTCTAGCTCTCGCTTGCTGCTGATTGTTCAATCTCTATTCCACATCCCCCATCGGAAAACATTTTCGCCCTGTCATCTCGCGTTGCCAATTAATTTGTTGTTTCTTTAACTTCGCGACATAACTTTCAGATCTCTGCCTATAACTCATTATTCAACCAAAAACAAGTGGGAATAACAATTACCTCTTGTTGTTCAGTTTCTTTTTTGTTTTGCCCTCATATTATCTATTTTATAACGATAACTAATACTGATATTAATACAAAGTCTTGGCATTCCACATTACGACATATGGTCTGAACGCCAGAACACATCACACAACATAACCTATCCTCCAACTACACACCCTTAACCACACGCAAGTCAAGCAGCAACTCAACCTCTTCAGAGTCGCAATATCACTTCTTACTGCCGTTACATAATAAAATATGTCTCTGCTCACCATGGTCGTGCATCGTCCTAAGCACATGTTGCGCTTCTTAAGCCCAAAGTGTTAAACATTTTTATATCAAGTCGACTAGTCTGCTAACAGACCTGTTTATAAAAGACAGACGCGCAAGACTTAACTCACCTTTACTCAGATAAGTGGCGTATTAGAGTATGGCATTTTTGCATACATGAGTAGATATATGATATAGTACTCCAAGGATTCAGAAGGAAGTAGGATAAAGTATAAGGAGAAGAAATTAATGAGGTGCGCGAGTGATCTGAATTTCGAAGAGGCAGAAGAAAGAAACAGAGATAAAAAAGCCGTAAGTATAAAATGAAAGCAAAAAAAATTTTTATTATAGGCACAAACAAACGACCAACATTAGAAGCAGGAAATTGATATAATAAAATAGGAATATGCAGACATTCATTTCTGCTGATTTCAATGGGAATATAACTTGTCTGCATGACAACTTGGACGCCTGGAACTTGTGTCAACGGCAACTCCCCAACGAATTAGTTTAAGAGATATATAGATGCATATATTAACGATGTAGAGACAACACACGAGACAAACACCACGACATTATAGCCATTCAATATAGGACCACAATGGCAACACACAACTGCACACCCACAAACCATGGTAGGATCGGCGGTGTACGACACACCATCTAGTGATAATGGCCTTAGGAGGATCAACACACACACCGGCAACGACACTGATACCTAAGATGTTTTAGACAATCTATTCTACAATACAAACAAGAATATTGCACAGATAATTAAGAACATAGTCTGAACACACACAGACACCATCTATTAATAAATCATATGCCAACGAATGGACCTTACCCAAGCGTGGTACATCTTCCTGTGTCCCGCGCACAATCTATTAGTGCTAGCTCTGGGCTTCAGCTGACACTTTACGTCGTCTATACTAATCAGAATATTCGTAACAAATGGAGGCGGATGTAACACGCTAACGGCGACAATATCCGGCCAGGTCCGGGGAAGTCGTTCCCTCGTCCTGGGGACCTCTGAAAGGCGGATCTTGTCCAATGTCATGAAATTTAGGCAATGGTCAAAAATACGAAAGTTACCGCCAGCATTCTGTGGCCTTAATTTTACTGCTCTACGTGACACAGTATCAAGCGGG